CCACTTCCTCCACCGCAAGCACCCTCTTGCACCAGAAAACCAAAAAACCACAAAACATTGCCCCAAGAAAGACCCCCCACTTCAGCAAAATCTTCAGAGACTCCGAATCCAGGCCTAAAACCTCACCTTGGTCACCAACCAGATCATTGTTTTTTCACTTAACGATCTCAGATGAGCTCTAGCACCAACAATGCCAAGTATTCACAATCTCAAAGTGTAAATTCCACCAAAAATGGACCGATTGAAACAATTGGAGACTATACGACATTGGAAGTGACTACTTTTGGATGAAAATTTTATTGAGTATTTCAAATTTCAATTTTGTTGCACGAAACCCAAACACTTGGATCCGGAAATGAAGGGGGGTCGATTGATAACAGTGGATTTAGGTGCCTCAAGCCCCCACAATAGTTATAGCTGAAGGAAAATGTTAAAAATTCAGGAAAAAAAAAAAACAAAACTTTATTCCCTTTCCCAATCCTATTCCTTCTTCCGGTTGGAATTGAGCATGCTAGGTGACGAGGTAAAAACAGAGGTTGAGGGAGAATAGGATGGGTATTGATGGATTTGCTGCAGATGGAACGCAGCAGTTGGGATTCATGATAGAAGAGGTGAAATTGAGGTGATTCCATTGGATTCTTTCTGTTGTGAAGGAAGATGTTGCCGAAAGCAAGTGCGAGAGAGAGACCGAAGCCCAAATACCCTTCCCAACATGACAATTACAGTTATATCCCCAAGACGAGTGAAGTCACACAATACACAAATCAAAACCAACTTGAAAAAGAGTGATGATGTAAATATTGTGCTAAGCACACAGAATGAAGTCTACTGGGCAGACCATGCTAGAGGACAGGTTCAAATGCAAAATAATAGTTTAAATATAAAACAACATTCAAGAATGCAAAAGCTTCAATTGACAATTAGGTCTTTAAAACTGAAGAAACTATGAGAACCATGAAAAGTGAACCGAGTTAAGTTTAACAAATTAGAGGAAGAAACTCAAATAGATAAATAGAGAAAACAAGGAGTACAAAATCATTGAACCAGACAAGTGAGGAAGCTGTTGGTTCATTGACATCTTTACACCAAATGTCATAAATCTAACACCCAATCCCCTCAGCAGCCCTCATCCATCCCTGGATTGCAATCAAAATTATTCAAATTAAGTGATCGAAATCAAAACCGTGTCATAAACTAGTCAGTGGTACTGGAAACTGTATTATTTGTCCATCTATGATATACCCCCAATAACTTTGAAAATATCCATTTTCTTCCAAAAAGTATCAATTCCCTAAACACCAAAAAATTGAAGGCAAAGCAAGAATCCAAAAACCAATAACCAAGTTTGACAAAATCCTTATCTCTATAAACATAAATCAGAGAACCTAAGGGTAGTAGCAAAGAGCGCAAAGGTTGAGGCATGAAACAGAGGACAGAGGGCTCCATAACTATTTTTCAAACAAAGTAATTGCATTTTCCATACATAATTAAACAACACCCAATTGTCAAGAAATAAAACCCATAAATAAAAATATCAAAAGAAAGTTCCTTACTATCATTTGCCGGAAAGACGGTCTGTGGCGGTCAACGAGCTGCACTCGTCCTAGAAGCGAACCCTGTACAAGAAGAAGAATGCAACTCTCTAATCGGTACAGTCCTCGTCTGAAAGCCTTTGTCCAGCTTAACGAATTGATGGTCTGAGGGCGTAGCAAGTAATTCCGGTGAAAGCCGGCATACGACTACACTGGCGGAGATGTAGCTGGCGGGGAGAGGCTGAAAGTTGGGACTCTGGGTTGGGCTTTTTGTATTTTGGGCTAAAGGCTTAGGTTTTTATGAACGGTTTTTATTTTCTCATTTTCGGCCGTCAATGTTTATTTATTTTATTTAATTTTTGATGGCAGCCATCAATGTAAAATTAAGTTTATAAATTGCAGCATTTTTACAATTTTGAATGTTATATATTTTATTTTGAAAAAAAAATATTATATAATCCAAACTGTGTTAAATTATGATAATACCTGTCTTTCCTATCTAATGACCATTGTTTTCTTTTTACAATTTAATGTAATTCAATCTAACCTTTGTTTATACTTTTTTTTGAGTCATCTTTTATACCAATGTTTTCCTATCTATGATTGAACCAATGTTTTCAAAACCGGATTGAATTGGTCACTTTAGTTGGTTCAACCGTCGTCCGGTTACTAAAACGGGCTGAGTGGATGCTCAAGCCCATTTGGATGATCGGATCGTCCAGATTCGGAAAAACTGCCTAACCCGTTTCGCCCGTTAGGTCCGGTAAACCCACTAGGCGAATTGCTCCATGCTAGATGCTGCAACTTCTTTTTTTTTTCCGCGGTTGGTGAAACTCAAACTCAACCACTTTTTCCAATTTCCACCACAAAAACAAAATCTTAAGACAAACAAAACCCTATTATCCACTCCCCAGCCTCCATCAGTCCATTGATTCTCCACTCTCCAGTCCAATCTCCATTCTTCAATCTCCATCACATTTCCAGTTTTTCGGCGAAGAAGAAACCACAAGGCAGTAGATTGGCCTCCATCGCTTCTCCATTGCTTCTCCATCGCTTTTCTAAGTCGAGTAGTTAGATTAGTATCCAACGATCAACACATCATCGAAATAGAAAACCAATGAAGAGTACAGTTTTAGTTGCAAGTTCAAGAAGAAAGTGGAAACTTAAATGGAAAACTTACCACAAATCTAGCCATCTCTGTGGGATTGTGAACAGCTATACTTTTTGGAGTGATCTCAGTAAGAAGCAAAATAGCAACCTAGGATCATTCAGAAAAACTTGGTTTAATACCCAATTTGGTCCCTAAACTTTCATTTCAAAACTTAGTTCATCCTTTAACTTCAGAAGGGACCCAAACCATCCTTAAACTTTATTTTTTCAGAACCCAAATGGTCCTTCCATCACAGAAGTGCCCAGCTGGCCCGTTAACTTGCCACGAATTAATACTTTTATTTTAGAAAAATTACATGGAAAAAAAATGATGATTTTGTAATTTCAATTTCAGAACTGAGGCTTCCCCTGTTTTCAGTTTCGCATACCCTTGTGCGAATGCAGACGCCGGAGAGAGCAGGGGCGTCCACCCCACCTTCCGCCTCCGTCCCATTTCGCTGGGAAGAGGAACCGGGGAAGCCCAAGCCATGCACCGCGCTTTCCACGTTCTCGATTCGGGAGGATTCTGCCCAGAAATGCCTTGAACTGCCTCCGAGGTTGCTGGTGGAATCAAAACCGTATTCCTCGCCTACCACCGTCTTGAAAGGTCCGTACATCGGTCGTTCGTCCAGGTTTCAGTCTCTCAGAATGGGCAAACACTCCTCGCCCGCCACCGATCTCTTGGAAGGCCCGTTCATTGGCCGGTCGTCGAGGTTTCAGTCTAATTCGTTCAGAATGGGAGGCGATTGCTACGGTTCTTTTCGTTCCACCGGTAACTCCAGCCTGGAGGCGGTGGTTCCTTATGGAGCGCTGGTTGTTAGCAAGAAAGGGCAGCGGAGAGACAGAGGGATTCTTGGGTTCTGGAGGAAAAGAGCCTTGAAGGGTGAAAAAGGTGTTGTTAGGGGTAGTTACGTGTTTCCGTCTTCCGTGGATAGAGAAAGTGATTCCGACCGTGAAAGGGAAGACATCCGCAGCAGCACCACCGTGAAGATCACCAGGGTTAGAAGAATTAGGAGTTCTCCTAACCTATCCCATGCCGCCAAGTCACATTTCTGGGTGAGCTTTTTTTTCTTTTTGAACTGAAGCTAAATACATTTCTGGGTGATCTTATATTTAAATCATTTTTTTTCCACGTAATTTTTTTGAAATAAAAGTATTAATTCTTGGCAAGTTAACGTGCCAGCTAGGCACTTCTGTGACGGAAGGACCATTTGGGTTCTAAAAAAATAAAGTTTAAGGATGGTTTGGGTCCCTTCTGAAGTTAAAGGATGAACTAAGTTTCGAAATGAAAGTTTAGGGACCAAATTGGGTATTAAACCGAAAAACTTCAATGATTATGATTTCCTTCTACCTTGTATGTTCGCTTTTCCTCTTTTTTTTTTGGAAAAAGGCAAGCTTTTCCATTGCATGAAAACAAAATATCTACAATAATCACCCAAGCATACCTGGGTTTAACATATCACCTAATACTCAAAATTGCAACGGCAAAAAGTAAGAAATTCACCTTTTTTTCTTCTTTATTTAACAAAGGTGCTCTACCTTTCAATGTGCACACATACATATAGACCGGAAACAAATTCATTTAGGAGAAAAGGAAACAAAAAGTATAAGAAGATCCAACATCATTTGTTGTTGCTCTGTAGGATAGCTTCAGATTAATAATTTCATAAGTGAGTTCAAGAAAAAAACAGAGAAAGGGGAAAAAAAAAAAACAATGGTAAAAATGAAAAATCCCCCTTGAAGGAAATAAGCTAAGCCTGTCATGTACAATATACAAGACATTGTTTTGATTTTCTAGTAAAATATCAACTCCTTTACCAATAATATAAAGAGAGAAATATATGCAAATTAATCTACTGTATAAAGAATGATTGGTGCCCGAAGGTTTGGATACCCACAATATCAAAAAACAATTTTTCTTGACATACCTTCACTTCCAGGTAAAAATAGACATTAAGGAAGTACATTAATAAAGAAAGATTAACAGCTTGAACCTTCAAATATATTTTACAATAAAGAAAGACAAATTTACAAAGCATAATAAAGACAAGAGAAGGCTGACAATTTTAGACAAGCCAATGCCAACCATAACAAGAACTTCAAACCCGAAAAACACTTATTTAGGAAACATTAAATCAGAAGCTCTAAAACATCAACTCTGCAACTAGCTTCTTCTTTGAACAAGTCTTTTGGCTTTCCTCATCTTCCTTCCACTTTGACTTGGTCGGCCATCAAACAAAGACACAAACCATTTTGGTTTTCCTGTACGGAAGACAAGAAATCCCATCAGCAGTCCAAAAACAACTCCACATCCATAGCCTAACACCACAACTCTCCAGCCAAATCTCCACAACTAATCTTTTTCTTGGAAGGAGCTCGGCGGTGTCCCAATTCCATCACAAGATTTTGACAATGGGATTCCACACAGTCCAAGGTTTCCTTCATAAGAACCATTTCCAAAGGTGTTGAACTGACTACCCTGTGGTATGTGCCCGACAAGATGATTATTTGAAAGATTCAATACAGAGAGTTGTGTCAAAGATACCAATTCATCAGGAATTTTCCCTGTCAGCTCGTTGGAAGAGAGATCCAACCATTCCAGATTCGTCAAATTCCCTAGTGACGATGGGATATGACCAGTAAGGTTGTTATGAGAAAGATTAAGCCCTTTGAGAGAACTAAGCTTTCCAATAACATCTGGAATTTCTCCCTCAAACTTGTTATTTGAGAGATGAATAGTACTAAATATGGTCAAGATTCCCTGCAGCTCATAGTCGAATCCCTTCCATGTCACAACCAATGAACATTGATAAGAATTGGCTATCGTCGACACCATCATGTATTCAGGGGAACCACCATCTCTATGAGGGTCCATCATCGCATTAAAATTTTCAATGTACCGAAGAGGCAAAGCACCAACAAAATAATTGCTAGAGAGGTCCAGAACTCGCAACTTGGGAAAAGATGGACCTTCTTTGGTGCTATGCACGAAACCGTGAAACTTGTTGGACCTTAAGACAAGCACTTGAAGCTCTGGTAGAGATTCCAACCAATGAGGGAATGTATCACTTATGTTGTTGTTGCCAACATCTAGAACCTCTAACATGCGACAATTCACCAAAGACCTTGGTAATAAACCGTCCATTTGATTTCCATGTAAGTTGAGATTTCGTAATCCACAACCCTCTGGAAACCCAAATGGTATATTTCCATCAAAGTAATTGGCCTGCAAATTCAACACTGAGAGAGACTTAGGAAGACAATTTGGAATCTTCCCAATTAAATTGTTATGAGAAAGGTCAAGAATTTCGAGATTTTGAAGCATCGAGAACATGTCAGGTACTATTAAATCACTAAAATGATTTGATGACAAATTGAGATAACTAAGATTTACTAAATTAGCAATTGAGTTAGGAATTGAGCCCTGGAGTTCATTGTTTGACAAATCTAGGAGTGTGAGTGGGTTTTGCTGGAATTGATTTATTTGACCTTGAAATTGGTTATGATTGAGATATAACTGCTCTAAAAAAGGTAGGGTGAAAATCCAAGGTGGCAATGTGCCATTAAGCAAGTTATAAGAAAGGAAGAGATAGGGAAGTTGTGTGAGGTTTGCAAGTGATGATGGGATTTGTCCATTAAGATTATTATAAGAGAGGATTAGGTAAGTAAGTTGAGATAAGTTCCCTATGGAAGCTGGAATGGGACCAGAAAACTGATTATTTGAAAGGTCAAGAGAGGTGAGTAGTGTGAGGTTTCCAAGTGTTGTTGGGATTTGTCCGTTGAAATTGTTAGAAAAGAGGCTTAGGCGAATTAGTTGAGATAAGTTCCCTATGGAAGCTGGAATGGAACCTTCCAAGTTGCAGCCAAGACTCAGAGACTGTAATGACTTTAGATCTCCTATAGACTCTGGCAATCGCCTTCCACAATCCACACCACCTAAATACAACCACTGGAGAGGACTGCTCCAATTGGAACTTGGAAGATCAATAGTGAGGTCTCGCTTTCCATTTAAATAAAAATTCTTGAGATTTGGAAAGCAGAAAATACTATTTGGAAAGTTCCCTCTTAACATAGTCTCGAAAAGTTCAAGAGTAGTCAATGAAGAAGAGAGATTCATGAAGAAACGAGGATTAACAGATGTCATGTTCACTCCACTAAGCACAAGTTCTCTCACCTCACTCAAGTTATGAACAAGATTTTTGAAGGTAGTTGTTTCAAGGATCAAGTCAGAAGAATCGTAATAATTAGAGAGATTGAGAGAAACTAACTTGATGAGGTGAGCAATTTCTCTTGGAACTTGGCCTGAAAATCGAGAAAAAGAGACATCAAGATGCTTTAGTCTAGTAAATTGACTGATTTCTGATGGAATCTTGGAAAGCCTAAAATCATTCAAGGCTAGATTGAGGCTCTGCAGGTTTCTGAGGAAGAAAAGAGTGCTGTTGGAAGGAAAGGTGCCATAAAGGAAACTGCAGCTGAGATTAAGGGCAATTACATGGCCTGTGACATTATCACAGCTAACCCCATCCCAGGAACAACAGTCTATACCTTCCTTCCATGACTCAATCTTAGAATAATTAGGTTTAGTATAAAAAAAATCCACACAATTATCTGCATAAAGAACAGTGTAATTGATGGAGAAGGATGTCTTGAATTGCAGCAAAGCAAGAGCCTCCTCATGAGAGCAGAGATGTGTTGTTGAGAAGGAAGAAGCATGTATAGAGGATGAGAAGGCAGTTTTAAGACAGAGGAAGACAAAAAGGAGGCAGAGTGGTGCAGAGAGCTTTGTGAAGATCCTCATATCTTTGTTGGGGGCAATAGAGTACTCAAGGAGAGTATATATAGAGTGTTTAAAATTGAGGTATGCTAATAATTGAATATATTCCATCAAAATAAAAATAAATTGAGATATGCTAATAATTGAATGTATTTCATCAAAACAAAAATAAATGAATATAGAATGTAATATTGACCCATAGTAGTTGTCATTTTCGAATCCACATTTCCGACTCCTCTCTTATTTTTCTATTTTGAAATTAGATGGAGTAATTAACCATTACAATCACATTATTAATATAACTTTAATTAGTAATTTAAATCTTAGTAAGAAATTTTTACTTTTGTTATGGGGTGATGTAAGAAGATATTTCTTTTATTTAAAAATTAGAATTAATAATTTAAAAAGATTATTTA